CCCCCCCCGTCAGGATTCAGCCAATTTCGATTTAACGCGCGGGTTACATAATCCCCCGGTTTTTTTTTTCTTTTCTCAGGTATAGATCCGAGTTGGAAGGCCCCGATCAGCTCGCTCGTTGGGAGGCGAAGCAGGCGGCGAGAGAAACGCGGACTTTTATTTCGCCGCGCGTCGACTTACTTTACTTTACTTTATCGCGAGGACAGACGGTATTAGCATGTCGAAATTCCTCTAGATATTCCGTGGCGGTTAGCGGATTCGTGGAACGGCGGCTCGTCGTAGGAAGGTCTACGCCGGTGCCTCGCTGTATCGCTCGCTTACGTAATTGACGGCGTAAGCGAGTACGAGGCGCGCTCGACGTATGCAATATTATCGTCTCCCTCGGTGGCGATAATACGCATAAATATCGCGGCCGGCGGTAAAAATAAATGTGCAATCAGGAGCGCGATCACAATTCGTCCGTCGCGAACGAAGTAGCCCGGGAGCCATAAATGATGTAAAAGAATCGTTACATGAATGCGCGCACACACATGGACGCACACACGCGCCACACACTCGTCGCTCGACGTTCGTGTCGCAAAACGCAAAGGGATCATTATCGATGACGATTGCGTGTGCAAGTATGTGATTCCTTCGATCGCGGATTGCACGCGAATGCAATCGGAGCCGACTTCCGCTGATTGAGCATCCGCGAAAAGTTAGATCACCGGCCGCGCTCACAAATATTTCATTTCGCGGCCGCCAAGGCCGCGAGACCGAGTCCAGTGATACCGCGCTGCTAACATCATCGATCAGGCTTTGCGCGTATATTTCCCGAGTGCACGGCTGACCGACCCGTAACAGCACATCGCCGGGATTTCACGGACAGTGCAGGATTTCGCGCGATCTCCCAACTTTTCCACCCGGCAAGCTGCCCCGTTTCTTCCCCCCCCCCCCCNCCCCCCCCCGCCAGGAGTTGTTCGGGAAAGAAACTGCCTGGCCCGAATGACTCGTCGTATCGCCGACTTTCCGCATCGCCTGTACCACGTCGTGAAGTATCCAAGTTTTTCTCGTCTTTCTTTACACACGGATATCAGACGACGCGGCCAGGGACGCGACGTTACGTGACACGAGATACTTCACGTGATACGTTGCTTTTCGGCGAACTCGCAAAAATAGCTGTACAAACAGGTTACATCCGCTTCACGGTTAAGCCACGCGACCGTGCACTTCCAGTCGAAGATTAATTACGTATAAATATTCATCCCGTCGCCCGTGCTCTACGTCCGGTTAAAGTCGAACACAGTGGCGTTAACACAGACTCTTACGTCCAATCGATAAATCGAAATTAACCTTCGCACTTAAAACGAGCGTTGATTGACGATTGAAGAAGGACGCCGGCCGCAAGAGGTGAATGCTTCGAGGAACTTTAACACGAAAAAATATCTGAGTGTATGTGTGTGTGTGTGTGTGTGTGTGCATGTATGTGAGATAATAGTTTAAAATATATACAGAATATCCTAGATCTAGTCTCTATATATTTCGATCCGCGAATATGAAGACCCCGTTTGAAGATTCATCGGAGTGCGATCTCCGATCTCGCCGACTTAATTAACACCGACACACCCTTCGCCTAACGAAGTTTATACGGCCGGATTCATCAACGTCCTTTAAATACCTTGAGATTTTATTATCACACAGGCCACGTGCGCGAAGATCTATGTTCTATGATTAAGATAATGTCGCGCGTGACGCGATGAGGGAAAAGTAGAGACGTGCCTCGCACGAAATCGAGTCACGTGCCGTGTCGAGATACGAGAGATAAATGCGACGTACCGTATGCACTCGATCCCGATAACCTCGAGGCGGAATCGTTATCTCCGCGGGACTTACACGAGAAAAAAACAGCGTGCATCGTTAATTTTTCAGGTGCAACATATTAACAAGTGTAACAGTTGTGTGCGATACGTCGCAGTTATATGAATTTACATTCGTGGTCCCGTCGAGGTTATCGACGCGCAATCGGAGCGCGTGTTTGCGAAACTTATTGAATACACGATCCTTCCACGCGCATATATATATATATATATATATATATATATATATATATATATATGCAATAGCCGCTAATCTGAGGCAATATTATTAATACGTCGGTATCAAGTTTTCTCACATGTGCGTACGAAGTAAAGAACGCCCTTCGTCGTCGCAAGGGAATCGCCGGCCATAATAAAATTCGTTCTCTTCGTTATTTTAAAATTTTAGAAATGTATTTTCCGCTTATGACTACACAGAGCGATACTTGAGTACAATGCGCTTACAAGTAGCGTTGCATCGGGAAATCGGGCGCTTACAAATTTGTCAATGCGATGATCACCGAGCTCAAGTATTTGCCTCATGATACGATATACTTACTCGTATCACTTCTTGCATACTGCGTGTATATTTAATTGTATATATTTCTAATGTGAGTAATATCGTACCATAAGACACGAAAATTTGATTCTCATTCGTTGCTCTCTCTCTCTCTCCTTCTCTCTCTCTCTCTCTCTCTCTCGTAATCTCATTACGCGTAAAAAAATATAAATGCCAGTTAAAAAAGGCGTTATTCGTATGATTCTACCTGCTAAAAATTGTGCGCTTTAAATCACACACGTCGCTTAAGCACTGATTAGGACTGGCTATTTGCAGACTGAATGCGGCTACTTCACGAATTACTTTGCACTTCTTTCGAGACTTTATCGACAATTTTATAGAACGATAAATATAATGTAGCCATTTTATAGGAAATTTTATAGAACGAGCGCGCTTCAATCATTTTTATCAAAAATAACCTCAAAACAGCGATTTCTCTCCTTCTCTCTCTTTTTCTCTCACTCATTACTGTGCGGGTGCAAAATTGTAAACTGGGTATTTCGGTGCGAAACGATTATCTAGGCCGTAGACGTATTCCGATTCCCCGCGTTCGCGAAGATTCCTGGCGCCTTGAATCGACTCCTCGAAGGATGGCGGAGCTGAAAGACAAAGTAAAATTACTATTATGAGTTGTAAAAAATGTCTCTAATTTTATGAACTTTTATTATCTGGAAAATAAGTTCCGTAAACACAGACGTTCAAATTTGAAAAATGTTGTCGATGTTTGAAATGAGGGGAGAAAGGTACTTTTGAAAACAAGGACCCGTATTCATAGTTGGATCTTATATTTAAGACCGTCTTAAGTTCATCTTCAGATGTTTCGTGACCATTGAAATGAGCCATATCTGAAGATGAATTTAAGACAGTCTTATACACCAAAAAAAAAATAGAAAAAAAAATTGTTTTTCTTTCAGTATTCTTCAAGTAATATTTATTTAATTCAAATAAAATAAACCACTCCAATATTCTTTAACAAATATTTACTTGAACGTAGTAATTTTTTCAGTGTATGTATATAAGATCCGACTATGAATACCGGCTAGAGTGGTTTCGAATAACAATCGATAAAGAAGTGTGATAGTTCTTCGCTGAAAAAACGGTTAAAAATAGCAAAAGTGTTACAACTTAGGGCTACCTACGCACGAGAGTACGGCACTGTGTGTGTCGTGTCGGTACTTACGTAAGTTCGGATATAGTTGAGATTCCGGTAGCGGAGGCATCGCATTATTCGCCGAAGGTATGACGAAACCGGCTTCAGGCGGCTTCGTTGGATAATCCGTATCAGCGGCAGGTGGAGCGCTCGGGGCATGATAAACGGCCAGCGGAACCGTGCCCACAAAGATAAGCGTATTTTCAGATAGGTTCCGATGATACCTACGAAAGTACACGAATGTACGGCGAAGTTGGAGAATATATATATATAATATATACCTCAAACAAATGAAAATTTAAATAATTAATTATTGGGTGTACAAATTAATTCGGTGCCTTTGCATTTAATGTCCTGTAACTCTGGTTCAAATTTAAATTGTTCCCCCGTCCTATAGTGATTTTTGAAAATGCCAACCTTAAGCTTTAAGAAACGCTATAATACTTGACTTGCCGATATAATCTCAGTAAAAATAATAATTATCACGATGTATTAGGTTGGTGCGTATGAAATGTCGCATTCTCTTTACATGCGGACGTTTTCCTCCCTGTTTTCGTTATACTTTTGTATTTGGCATAACCTCATTCATACTCGTATTGTCCATTGCCAGAGACTCATTTCAACAAAATAGGTTTTCTCGAAGGTCTTCCCTTTTTTATTTCTTTTGAGTTTATTACCGATATGAATTCTGCCGACATTCGCGTCATTTTCTTATATGAGTACAAACTTGGTAATAGTGCTGCAAAAGCTGCACGCAACATAAACCAAGCGTTTGGGGAGAATACGGTTAACAATCGGAAAGTGCAGCGTTGGTTCGAAAAATTTCGGACTGGCGATTTTTCACTGCAAAATGAGCCGCGCGGAAGACCCAAAACGTCTGTGAATAATGATGACCTGAAGGCTCTAGTGGAAGCGGATCCAGCCGTATCCACGAGGGAACTTGCTATCAGGATGAAAGTTGACCATACAACGATATTGAGACACCAAATTGTACTCCCATCGCTTGTGAATCGGCATGGCCCGCTACTGCTCCATGACAACGCTCGGCCGCACACATCGCACAAAACAATTGCGAAACTGAACGAACTGGAATATGAAGTTTTGCAGCATCCACCATATTCACCGGATCTCTCGCCGACCGATTTTCATTTTTTCAAGCATTTAGAGCTGTTTTTAAGAGGCAAACACCATGAAAATGAAGACAGTCTAAAAAACTCGATATCAGAGTTTATTAATTCTAAAGACCAAAATTTTTTTAAGACAGGCATCTACGCTTTAAAATCTCGTTGGGAGAAGTGTATTGAAGCGAATGGAGCATACTTTGATTGAATAAACAGCTTTTGAAGAAAGATATACAGTTTTATACAATCACTTAAGAATCCGACATTTCATATGCACCAACCTAATAGTTCGAAAAGAAGCATCTGAGGCACGGCATCTTTTTTACACTCCACTTGCGCTTGAATAAAAATGCTGCTAAGTCCATCGAAGTGATTTGTTCCGCTTTCGGCGAAGGTACTATGACTCATTATAAAATTTGTAAAAATATCTCTTACCGGCAATGGAGCTAGGCAGGTGATTTTACTGCGCGAAAACGGGCGCGAGCATTTTAAAAAATCGACGAGGTACGAAAAAGCATTGATGACTACTGAGTCAAAACCGCCAAGTTTTTCCCGCGAGGGCATTTATCAGCTGCCCGATAGAGGGAGTAAAGTCATAGAAAATAATGGAAATTATTTCGAACGTCAAACTTGTACTTGAACTTTTTTGTAAATAAACTTTGAATCTCATTAAAAAAAAGCACCGAATTAATTTGTACACCTAATAAGTAATTAATTAAGGTAAAGCGGACAAGTCGTGATAATCGGTGTAATTCGCACAAATAATAACGTAAGTGCAGCGAATCAATTTGATTTGATAAAAAAGTCAGTAGTGATAGCGAAGTGCACGAATGCGAGGCGAAAAGGGCACTAACCATCCTTCGACGCACGCTTCCACCTTCAAATTATACTCGAGATCGATAATGCCGCAATTGGCGAGGTTCGACGGCGGCAGGGGCGGAATGTCCAGATGTTGCTCGTAATCGACCCTCCCACCGCCCTCGATCGGTCCTTTACTGACCTCCCTCACCACGATCTCTTCCGTTTTGCTGTCCAAGTGCGGCCTGGTAGCACGAAAGGTCACGACCTAAACTTTTTTTACGATACGTTATTACTTCTCGACCGAATATTTCGGCGTCGACGGGCCGTTTCTGTCTCGAGGCACACATCTGACGTGTCACCCTTCGAACTTAGTTCAAGTTGGAAAATTTTACTTTCAATTACACCGAAAAATGAATTTGGTCGGATCTACCTTACAATGGATAGCCAAACGTGTTTCGGTTGAAGGAGACAAATTTTCTCATTCTCATGAGCCAAATTTTATTCTTATAACTAGAAATTTGGTTACCTTCAAACAAAGTAAATCCGAAGCCAAACTGAATTTTTCAAGGTGATCAACTCTTGCTATCGTGAAACTGACGTCACGTACCTTAGCCAATATTAATTTGACTCTGCTCACGACGACGCCCGACAAATTCTCTACATTTATCTTTATCGGCATGGACTGTCCTGGCACGTAGCCTCGTACCGGAAGCGAAAAATTCACGGTCAACGGCGGCGTGCCGCAACACAAGCAACAAAATGTCTTGCTCATCTCTCCCTGCACCGGCTCCTGGAAATATAATCGACTTCGTATTCCCTGGTAGTCAAGTAGTTTTGATATTTTTTTAACACTATCTCTCAGCAAAGTTAGCAATGGAAAGGAACTTGGCAATGCTTATCTGAAGAAGGTCACACGTCCCCTTAAATACTGATTTAGCATGTTTCATCTAAACTCGTTTCAAACAGATTTTAATACAAACCGTTGCTCTCGGCTCCTGGTTCAAATCCAAAGGCGAGATGACTGTGAAAGGACTCTTGACATCTTGGTCGAATTTCCAGGGTCGATCCAGCGTAGATTTGACGGTGTAGCGGACGTATCCGTAGTCCGATTCGAAGCTGCTCGGCAAGTTGTGCGGTAAGGTACAAGTAAATGGAAACTTGTGTTCACCCGATTGTATCTCAATCTCTCCACCTGGGGGAAGAGAGCGCACATTGTAATACGTACGTACAAAATGAAGATTCGCTCCGATATAACCGGCAAAATGACCGGGGGATCTCGTGGGAGGAAGAGAGATTCCGATGCAACGAAATTGACAAATTCACAGCATCTCTCCGCTTTTTTTAACCTTAATTATCTGATGATCATTATTGACTTTTAATAAGAGCGATTTCACGCTCCATTAATCCTTTCGGTAAGCCGTTAAGCGGAAGAAGACCACACGCAGGCCAGATAATAATCTAGCATTACCCGAGGCGGATCCGACCAAATAGTACTTCGTTTCGAAATACTCTTCGTGCGCCGTGACGGTCTGACTTTCGTCCCGATATTCTCCATTCTCGTCCATCCGTTGTCCGCCGGTCGACCATTGGGTGTTCGCCTCGCCCTTTACCTTCACGCTTATACCTGCGTAGGGGGGAAAACATTTCAAAGCGTTACATGAAAAGCCGGGGAAAATCTACCGGGGGATAATTATCTCGTTGACGTAACCGGCAAACCGATTTTCTCACGGCTTTTTCTCATTCGGCTCGATTAACTCGTCATTTGCAATTTTTCTTATCGCTCGACGTCGCCTGTGATGAAATTACACGAGCGGTGATTCTGTTTATATCGTCGCTCTTATCGCCGTCTCCGAGCGGGATCGCCTCATTAATTCGCTTTATTAATCTCGCGTCATCGGCCGTCCGCATTCGTTAACATCAAATGAGACGCGATGGGAACGTTTTCAGAAGCGTGTCTTTCGTACACCGCCGGCGTGTATTATTTCAGCGGCGTGAAACAATGTCTGGGAGGAGATAAAACGTCCCACACCGACGGAGGTAGCGAGACTTTGTGCGCGAGTGCAACGAGTTCTATAATTATAACGTCCCTCGCGCGCGGTTACAGCGGTAGAAAAAGATAGAAGCTCGCGCTGTTGCGGCCGCTGAGTGCATTTCGTTGTACGCGCGAGTTGTACCGCGGTACGTTTCTACCATCTTCCCTTTTTCCTTCTCCTCCTAGAGACGCGACTGGGAATCGATTGACGGAGAAGCGGCGGAGAGAAATTCCGGGGGAATATTGGGGACGAAAAATGAAGGATTCAGAGCGAGCGAGTCGCGAGAAACTCTCGCCGGAGCCGCCTCTCCGCGCGCTGTCACGCAATGCGTATATGATCGCAATCGCATGTAATTGTCAGACTCACCACGAATTTTCTTCGTGCTGTCGAGAACGACGAAGATGTTGCCCGTCACCGTTTGCCCAGGGTAGTACGTGCTCCACTGGTTATCGAAGGCTATCCGGAAGTCCTTGAGGCCCATGTTGTTAATCCCGTGTCGAATGTCTGTTTACCTCGTTTACCGCGTCCGTGATCTCCTCGACGACGACGACTTATGCCGCTTCCTCGATCACTCCATTCGGGGATCCCAGTGACAGCGACGGCTGCTGACGTTTGCGTCCTACGTCGTCACCGGGCTTCCGCGTCGAGCGATCCGAGCGAGTCGCTCGCGCGCTATATCGAGCCGCTCGTGAAAGCCGGCGAACGGCGAACGAGGACACGCACAGTGCCTGGTGCACGCGACGTTAGTACCATAGTACCATCCGATTCGCGCAGACGGCGAATGACGTGTCGTCGTGGAAGCGGCCAGGGCCGTCCGCGAGCTCGCACGCGCAGGCACTCCGCGGGCTCCCCGGAATTTCGAAGAATCGCGGCGCGACTCTCCCGTCCGGTCGACTCGGTGCATCGTATCCCGGATTGATCCCCGTTGACGACCGGGAGAGAGGAAAAAATCGCCGGATCGACGTCACCGACGGCGCGACCGCTCGCGTCGGCACTGGGAGAGGGCTGGGACAACCCGATCTATATCTAATCGGCCGGCGAATCGATCGTGATAAAAAACTCGTCAAGACTTGCAAAGTCGGCGGATCGCGCGCTAATGAACGGTGAATGAGAATTCGCGGGAACGACGCGCACACGTCCGTCGTATCTCATTGAAATTTACTCGAGGTACGCGCTCACACGACGTCGTTCTCGAAGCGGCACCTAAAACGCGAACGTGCCGTGGCGAGGACGCGACGTCACGTCCGTGTGCGGCCGCCGGATGTCGCGGCCCGGCGCAATTCGGCCGGCCGTAAAGTTCACACGGTTCGTTGAAATTTAAAGTTAAGCCGCATTTCGCACATACGCCTCGTAATGTCGCCGGCCTCGAACTTGCCGGCGGCGATGATAAACGACGGTCGTGGGAATGACGCTCTCAACAACCCCCGTCTGGGAATAATTCAACGAGCCTTTTTCACGGGGTGCTCGGAAATTGCCGATGCACCAGGTGGAACGGGCGAAACTGGACGGGAAAGTCGCATTTTGCAACATTCGAAATGATCTGTGAGAAGTTGTACGGTGAAAAGTCTTAAGTAACAGTCTACTGACATTTTTGCATCACTTTAACAAGGTGTATACGTTAATTAACATATATTTGTGTATTTTTTGGCATATTCCCGTGTTAAAGTGATACAAGAATTTCACCGTTATTTACGCAAAATATTTTACTGTGTAATTGACCGATCTGAGCGCGAATGGATGCATGGGAAACAGTAGGTCGGACTCTGTAAACTGTGCTGAATCAGCTGCTGCATGTGGTACCCCGCGTACCACGATTTGGCAGCTATGGGCGAGGTAACGAAGCGAGCAGAGGGCGGCAGTTGATTCTCATCGTTGCTAGAAGATCCTAAAAAGTAAACTACTTATTTTATATTTTAATCGTTCTCATAAACTAGGAGCCATTTTTCTTCGCATATGCCTACGGATCCTGGCCTGTCGCTTCCGGTGCGCTTCATTCTTCAGATTGATTAATTAACTTTTCATTAACTGTGAATTGCGAATTTGTCAAAGTGACACATAATTTTCCTGTTCAAATTAACTCATTCTGCACATCAGGGATACACCGAAGATTTTCGGATACCCAGTATGTGAATTATATTGACCGTCGTTCTCTCTCATTCCTCTTCTTATTTTTTCCCTCATCTTCATTATGGACGACGCTGATCCCGATCATTTCATTGTTCTACGAGCTACGTGGTAGTTCGTAAAGTGAGTTGCAAAAGTAGGTATGTCAGTGTCCTCGTTGCGGGTGAATCATAGACAAAACCCAGCCGTAATTCCTCCATTTTAATACCCGCTTCAGCGTTCATTGATCGATAATTCAAAACAAAGCTCTAGCGTGTGTGCAATTATGCCCGCTCGTGCTCATCTAACGTTTCTTCGTGGTTTCACCCAAGAAACGTGTATGCCGGCAGTAAACCCTTTTCCATATCGATTTACTAATGCAACATGAAACTACGTATTAGCGTTACCTTACACGGTGCGATTCGTATCGCATTAAAAGAAACACCCAACGCCACCGGTGTCGTGTTACTTCAAGGCTTATGTTCAATGTAGAAAATTTCGTGAACTGCATTGAGAAAAGGATTTCTTCAGATTTAATCAATCTTATTGCATCCAAACAAATTTCGTCATCGGCATGCTCCAAGAAAAATTAATGTTTCGATTAATAAGTACGACTGTTAGACTTTTCAACGAATATGTAATAAAAAAATTTCGTTTGAAACGAAAGATAATGTTCTTATAAGGAAATTATTTGTTTCGTTTTACATATTTATTGCAATCAAATAATATGTTGTTTGGTTAAAAGATATCACTTCAAGTAATATAGCGTTCTTCCTGTTAAATAACAGAGTTCTCTTGATTGAGACAATAGAATTTGTACTCGAGCAAATAATATTTCGCACACGTTGTTTCCATGAAACGAATTTTAGTGAAATAAATAGAAACACTAAATGTAAAGAAACCTTTTTCTCTAGAAGCGAACATCAATTGATAATCGCCCCAAGATGCCAATGAAACATTCATCTGTTATTATTATTATTATTATTACTAACAACAGCGTGTTATATAAACCACTGTAGAGACCGGACAATTTGCATAATCAATGAATTCTCACCCAGCCGCTTGAAATTATCTGTCGAAAAATATATCGATAAATTCACACATGTACACACACGTGCATTCGAACATCACATCTGCGGAGAAAAGGTCAGCTAAAAATAACGAAGTACAAAGTCGGCTCCAAGTGTAACCCTTTTCATCCCGTTTGTGCCATTTTTCGTTGTCTAGCTTACCTGTGTATCTTCATCTCTGCCGCGGTCCGACCGCGAGTCGAATCGATTCGCCCGCAAGTACGTCAACCAGCGTTACCAGGACGATTACTCTCGGCGAGGATACCAGCGGGGATCGTTAAGTTCCCGCTATTTTCCAAGTATTTCCGAACCGCTCGAATATTCTAGGAAATTCCGGCAAAGTCCGCCGACACCCCCTTACGCTCGATCGTCGTCGAGAAATTCTCATTTCCCCGGGTTTTCGGAAAAATTGCAGTCGCGCGCGCGCACACCTACGTACGTACGTACGTACGTAAGCGTGAGCGCAGCAGCGGGGATCACCCGCGGGACCACCCTATCTCATCTCGCGGGCTATCGTATTCCCTCTCGTCGTCGTCATCGGTGCCTTCCTCGCGACGGTGGCGGCGGCGGCGGTGGCGGCGTCATCCTCTCCGCGCAAGCTCCGCTTCTCGGGCTATTGATCCGCGCGCGCGTTTCGCCCGACGTAGACGTAGACGGCGTAGAGTGCCGCGGACGACGGGCCGCACGCCGCCCGTAAATATTCCTCCGGTGCTTCGTGACCGACAGACTTACGCGGATAAAGCCGTCCTTTCAGCGACAGCGAACAGCAACAGCAGCAGCGGCAACAGCAGTAGCTGAAGATGGTCAGCGGAGTGACGGAAGGTGGACCTCTGATTCGACCCGTCGAGCCCGGTGAGTACCTTCTTCGCTTCTGGTGGCGACCCCGGAAACGTAACGCGCGCCGTTGCGCGACCTTCCTCCACCTGGTGGCCCCTTCCGCCATTCGGGAAACCCGTCGACGATCCCTCACGTCCGGGATCGTCCAAGCGACCGCGTCGGCCGCGGCGCAACGCAATGGTACCGCTCGGAATGGAGGACGGACAGCTGTTACCTCTCGATCACAAGACCCCCTGGAAGATCGCTCGTTTCGCGACCCTCCGTCGGCCCTCAGGGGGCGATCTCTCTCGCCCTGTGGAACGAGGACGGTAACTGATCGCAGACGCCCCTCGCGCAATCCGTTTACGGTAACATACGGGTTACCGTCGTCGTGACGCGCAGTTTCCGTGGAAAACGCTGCGAAGCGTATCGTACGTGTCTATCGATATCGACGCAGGCCGACGCTGTGCGAGTCCGTATGGTATTGAGCAGTAATTAGCTCGCGGATTGTTGACGACAACGTGTTCGTTGTCGTCACGCGATGCTTTCGGGACTCGACATTGCCGAGGAAGACGGGGAAAACCCTGACTCGTCGTATCGAGGGGATGCAGAGAGCACGAGGGAAACTCCTCCCTCTTTCTCTCTCCCTCTTTTTATTTCGCCTCGGACGCTAACCTGTGGACATTTTCGCGAATGCGTCATCTGTACCGTCGCTCTCAACTTCCTCCTTTAGGATATTTATCCTCCGGATAAATAAATACTCGACATCCCCTCGTCTCGCGCCCGTGGCGATATCACGTGACGCGGCAGGGGTTCGCGTGCAATTACGTGCGTGCCAGCTAATTGCGACGGAAAGCTTGAAAAAGTGCACACGCGCGTGTGTGATTTCAGTCTCGACGGCGACGCTGGTGACGCTATGCATCGGCGCCGCTTTCCTACTTTGCGCCGTCGCGATGACCTGGTGGCTCTGCCGACGGCGTCGCGAGCACACCAAGCTGAGCTCCGACAAATCCCTGGCGTTCAGACCGCCGCACCGGAAGCCCACGGCGGTTAAGAGCCCCGGCAGCACGAGCCATTACCTGAAGAAGAGCCCGTCGCCGACGGGGCCGGCCAAGAGCCCTCCCGGCTCCGGCGGGCAAACGCCGAGCCCGACGGGATCGCAGTCCTCGAACCCGGCGTCGCAACCCCGAACGCCGCAGAGTGCAGGTAACGCGACGGATGATAGCAGATAAAAGATCAATCTAGTAGACAAATCGTAATTAGGCCCGTTGGTTTAACTGCACTGCAATTGTTGCACTCTTTCCTTTTCCCCTCGCCGATCGGTTGTATATGCTTTCGCACGGAAACAAATGCTGCTGGAACAGTAAATGTTTGTCAATATAGTGACGACAAAAAACAATTTGTTTAGGCAGCAAACAATTTGTCCGGACAGCGGAAAGATTTGTTGGGAGTGTTAATTGCTATTTGCTGGATGTATGGACAATTAATACTCCTAACCAATCTTTCAGCTGTCCAAACGAATCTTTCGCTGTCTAAACAAATTGTTTCTCGCTATGTTGACCAACATCTGCAACATTTGTTTTCTCCGCGCAGAAACGCTACTGGAAGATTCTTTCCGCGTTCCTTCGTATTTCCTTCTCCGTTCTCTTCTCCTCGGAAGAATAAGAAGGGAAGGAGGAAAAATTGATGAAATTGCGACTAATGTTCCGATGATGTTTGCGCGTTAAGGCCAGTAGCTCGCTGCGTTTGTTGATCCTCTATTGTTAATTCTACCGGACGACTGTTCCCACGACGACGACAGGTACACCTGTGCAAACGCCGCCGGTCGAAGTTGCCGTGAGCATAGAAAACGAGCGCGACAAAGCCGAGCTGGAGAACAACGAGAAGGTAGAGCGCGAGAAGAGCCAAACAGCCGAAAACGACAAGGACAACCTGGGCCAGCTCGTCTTCAAGCTGCGATACCGCAGCGAGCAAAACGCGCTCGCCGTCACGGTGGTGAAATGCAAGGGGCTGCCTGCCAGGGGCCAGCAGAATGCCACCAGCGATCCTTACGTGAAGCTGCAGTTGCTGCCCGATAAGCAGCATCACGTGAAGACCAGAGTGCTCAGAAATACGAGGGACCCGGTGTACGACGAAGATTTCACGTTCTTCGGCATATCGCAGAGCCAGCTTCAGGTAGGGTCGCGTTCCGATATTCACCGCCAGTACTGAACATTTATAGTATACGTAACATAAACTGTAGATTTTTAGTACTGGCAATAAATTTGAGAATGGCAATAAATTTCAGAAGCCTAGATCATACGTTTTTCATCTCTTTTTCTCGAGGACTGTTTCTAATTTAAAGAATTGCAAAGCTAATCTCTCTCTCTCTCTCTCTCTCTCTCCCTCTCTGAAATGAAGAATACGATTTACACGATAATTGCAGAAAATCAGCTTGCACTTCATCGTGCTGAGTTTCGATAGATACTCGCGCGACGACATCATCGGAGAACTGACGTGCGCTCTATCATCGGTGCCTGGTCTGGAGGACGCGGATAATCAAGAGATATCTCTCTGTCGAAAAATATGCCCCAGGAGTCTGAAGGTGAGCACCCTAGAAATGATTCTGACGCGGCATTTCCCTCGTCACGACGCGATCCGTGCATCTTGACGTGCTAGTTGGCATTATTTTGCGCGAAACGTAAAACGGTATCGCCGCGAAGTATTTCTCCAGCGAGGTATTATTTTCATTAGTATGAAAATGCATACGAATTAACAATACCAGATTAAATAAGAATGATAAGAATAAAGGATGATAAAAAAATTGCGAAAAATATTAGCAATAATTTGCAAGAAAAATTAGTAATAATATAGCAGAGAAACGCTTTGTAATTGTGGCTTTCATTGTTGCATAAAGTAATTGCAAACGTCGTTTCGTTCGACTTCCCGTCTCTGTTCTTCTTCAGATACAATCGCAAGGCAGAGGAGAGTTGCTGGTGTCTCTGTGCTGGCAACCGGTCACCAGCCGGCTGACGGTGGTGGTGTTGAAGGCGCGCAACCTACCGAAGATGGACGTGACCGGGCTCGCCGATCCGTACGTGAAGATTTACCTTCTATACAATCAGCAACGCATCGCCAAGAAGAAGACGCACGTGAAGAAACGTACGCTCAGCCCGGTGTTCAATGAGTCCTTCGTCTTCGACATACCGAACGGCGCGGACGGGCTGAACAACGTTAGCTTGGAGTTCATGCTTCTGGATTGGGATAGAGTTACGAAGAACGAGGTGAGCGAAACGTTCGAGGATAAGACTGTATCGCTTAGGGTCGCAGAGACCCGTCGCGGAGTAAGGTGAAAGTAGCCGATATACCCGCGAGCACGCACCTAAATCCGGACATTCCTGTTTTGGGTTTTAACTTACGAATATCGAAACTTTCTACCGTGAATATATGTGTATATACAGAGTGAACCACGTAACGTGGCTTAGTTTATTCGCGTTTGTTCGCAGGTGATCGGCCGACTCGAGTTCGGTGGACCAAAGTGTCAAGGCTCCGCTGTGAACCACTGGAAGGAGGTGTGCAGCTCACCGCGACGACAGATAGCCGACTGGCACAAATTGCGGGAGTAACTAGTCTCTCTCTCTCTCTCTCTCTCTTTCTCTCACTCACTCACTCACTCACTCACTCACTCACTCTCTCCCTCTCTCTCTCTTTCTCTCTCTGGCCCTACGTATCAGCCCGAACCCCCCGTCTCTGATTTCCTTACTTCCCCATATCTCTCTCTACCGTGAAACCACCGGTCCGACCCTTGAAACCCTACGACGAGGTAGGGCGTCTGTTTTGTAAACCTAATACTCGATGTATATTAGGCTTGAAGCGAACGGCTCGTCCACCCATGATCGCCGTCACCGTGCGGCGGGAAATCGATTCATTGACATTCAGGATCATTGAGTTACACTCCTCATAATTTTACGTTTTTCGAGTCAGATAACTTTCAGTCCCGGAAGAGGACGGAAACGTCGACCGTTAATGAGTTGATACACGGCTGATGGTCGCGAGAGGCTGATCAAGGGGACGTAACGACGAGCGATTGCGGGGTGACAGCTTGCAGGATGCTTTACGATATAAATATAGTCATTAAGATTCCCGACCAGTTGACGAAACGAGACCACGGAGTTCCGGTGCGTGCGAAGCGATCGGCTTGCCGATTCTTAGACGTCGCGTCCTACCGATGAAAATGAGACAAACCTCCTTACCTCCCGTACAGCACAGACCTTCAGGGGTAACGTCCTAAAGACGTCCACGGGACGTCCTACATCCCTACGTCCTAAGGACGTCTGTCGGACGAAGTGTGCTCTAGGGGCTCCTCGGCCGGAATTTAGCTGAACGTGAATGAAGTAAAAGTACCAATGTCTGAACACGTGCCTGATCTGTGGACATTTTTAGAGTTTTGATCTTTAAATATGAATATATTAATCTTTAAACATAAAATATTTGTATATATTCAATATATGTATATATGTTCCATGTTGAAAGTTTGTACACTCAGAAAAAGGTTTCGTTAGATTTTTCTGTTTATCTGACTAAAATTTGTTTCGTGACAGCAACATGTACGAAATATTATTCGTTGGAGTAAAAATTTTATTGTCCCATTCGAGGAAACTCGGTTATTTGACAGAAAGAACGCTATTATTTGAAATGATATCTTTCAATTAAAGAAAATATTATTTGGTTACAATAAATACGTAAAATGAAACAAATAATTTCTTTGTAAGAAAATTATCTTTCGTTTCAAACGAATTTATTTAAGATCAAGATACATATTCGTTGAAAAGTCCAACAATCGTACTTATTAGTCGAAACATTAGTTTCTTTACAGCATGCCGATGATGAAATTTGCTTCGATGCAATAAGATTTATTAAATTTGATGAAATCTTGTCCTCGGTGTATATTCGTATTTAAAGACGAAAACAACAAGAGTGTCCAGAGTTAGATTGCGTGTCATTTGATACTTTTACCTTGTACTTGGTTAGTCACAGAAAGGTAACATTTGTAACATTTCCCAGGGTAAACACGACGTATCGGTAACATAACATCGATGTTTAATGTCCGGCACAGTAATGTATATGTTACATAACACGCGTATTATATAACATATACATTGCTGCGTCGGACATTAAACATCGACGTTATGTTACTGATGTTTTATGTTTATTGGGGTTTTTTTCAACGCAACTCGTATATCCAATAAGTCAAATACGTCTCCTGAGAATTACAGGAATCAAATTCTCCTATTGGACACGAGAGGTGTTCCGAAACTTATTACAAAAATGTTGCAACTTTTTATGACCGACCAGACACACACACGCCGAAGGAAGCACGCATAACTGCGTGCTGAGGAGCATTTCGCATCAAGGTCACAAGGCTATCAAAGGTGTGAATGTCGCGCACGACGGATGGCCTTGACGCCGACGTGTGTCGGTGCACCGTCATCCGGCCGAAATCGCCGTTGATTTGCCTCATTTCATTCGTATGATCGGTCGCGTTCGCAAGCGAGATTCGAGGCCGCGCAATTGCACGCGTTAAGAAACGTGCGTTATCGTGCAGTGGCGTAACTACCTTCGATTCACAAAGAAACGGTTAAAGGAGCCCCCGCCTCCCTCTTCTGCTGCCTTAGCACAATTAGAAAGGAAAATCAAAGATGGACGCTCTACGGTGAAACTACTAGGAAAATCTCTGGCGCAGTGTTTGACTTGAACGTACTAATTGTTTATTTGACTGATGAGAAAGTTGATGTTTTCTTAAAGTTTGTCAATTTTTCTACTCCGAAATCTGATTCTTTGAATTTCCTTCAGGCCCGTGACAGGCCGAGGACGTATTCGAGCATCGCCACGCTTGTTGTGTAATAGTTACGCCACTGGTTTTAGCGACTCGCAATGTCGAGGTTACGACGGGCCGACGAATGATTGATCTCGAGATGCGCGCGAACGAGCGAGCGCGCAACCGCGCATACCGTCGTCATCGTCGTCGCGGAGAGACCGGCGAAAGTTCAAGGCTCGTATCTTCGTCTACGTCTATCTAAACGCTAAACGCGGCTATCTGGTTTCACGTATCCGTTTACATCGTGTGTAATATACTAACGCATTAAGACTTAGAGAATTGCTGATGTCGCGAACGAATTCGGAGATTGCGAGAGACGCGTCGAGTTGCGAATACGTCGAAGGGAAGGGAGGAAGCCTCGAATTCGCGTCGTTCCGTTGATAATTGTCCTACGATTATCACTCACACATACACACATACACACACACACACATACACAATGAAGCGATAATAATGAACGAAGAGGAAAGGTGTGTGTGCTATTGTTTCTAAGAGAGTAGCTGGACTACGAGTTAATCTCGATCCGCATCGCGATTGTACATATGTAATAGACGTAACGCGAAAGGTGGCGGCGAATTTTACTTGATTCTTAACGTAATCGGCGAGAAACGAGATTCGATGTTACGTTACACAACGTGAACGCACACGCGTCGTATGCATCAGAAGTACGATGGTTGGAGGGGACGCGACACCAATGCATCCCTGCTCGACTCAATTTGATATATAGAGATTCAAATAGATTGCAAATCGCGAATCATGAAAATTGACTTTTACTCTACGCCACGCTACCGTCGGCATGCTCCGCGCGTTACATCACATCACACCGACCCTTCTGCTAGTGTATCGTGCCGATTAACGTCCAAAATCGACGGATCGCGGATCGCGAGTTGCAAAAGCGTGACACTCGTTTCGAACGTGAAAGTCAATAATCAGCAACGCATAATTAACGAATGCTTATTTTTTTATCGCAATCCACCGCTCTCCGCAGTGCGAGACCCGCCCAATCTATGACGACGGAAAGCATTTTACATCTACAATTACCTACGTGTAAATATGAGCGTGACTTTCAATTCTTTATACAGGGTGTTTCAAAGCTGAAGCAAGTGAAGACCAAACCTAAAGCTGTTGGAGCTTTCGAAGGCAAACGGAATTTTTAATTGTGACAAAAATCATCGTCTTCATCAACGGCAAAAGCTTGAATCGGTGACGAAAAATCGTGAGAAAAATGAGCCCGTGGTCTAATCGCGTTTCCGAGATATTCGACGTGCACGTATCTGCCTTTTTAAATATTACTGTCCTTCTGTACGATTTCGCGAAGCAAATTACACAGAGATACCAAAAGTCGGAGAAACGTTTTCGCCCCTTTTCCTTTTTCTCTCGCGCTTTACACCCGTCGAGGGCAAGAAATACCGATACGTGGAAATATATTACATATCGTATGCGTTAATTCGCGCTACAGCTTGAAAACAATCGATATTCCCCATCGCGGAAATCCAATGTCGCTGATTGATCCTGCTATCGGGGGAGGACGAGCGTGCGTTCGCCGGAAATGCGCGAATCTCAGCTTTACAACGGTTTTTATTTGAGATCGCTGGGACTACCAGTAGCAGAGATATCGACATTTGTATCGAACCGCGCTCTGAGTCTGTTCGATGCTTCAATCCTACCGCACCTGCTACGCGTGAATGACGCCGAGCGCGCATCGCTTCACGTCCAGTTCGCGTGAAGTGAGCGTAAACATTGGGATATGCGGCCTTGCCCCCACTCCCGTGCCATACCGCCAGGTCATTCACCCATTCGCGAACGCGTACGGTACACAGCGCGCCACCCAGCGGTGACGGTCGTCACTACTGAGTGCGCAAAAAATTCAAGGAGCCACAATTCGGCGGAAAATCGACCTAGAGACGTGAAACAAAAAACGATCGGTTTAGCGAATACCAAACCACGATGTTCTCCTCGTATTGTCGATTCGGAGGACGATTTCGAAACCCTGATGGGAATATTATGCTGAAAATCTCACTGAAACTCTCCCCCAATTGATCCCGTTTCGTTATCCTTCCGTCAGTGTACGCAGTTTTCAGTTCAATTCAGTAAATTTTGGCAGTACACTTTTAACCTTCCTTATATTCGAGTACTGTGAACTTGAAACTGAAAAATTACTGAAATATATAATAATAAATGTTTCAAAATAAACCATAATTTTCATTACGACATTCAACGTAATATTGTGAAATATAATGTAAATTGAAATATAATTCTGAAAGATGATCAACAAATTTTTGCAACATTAAATATCATGAAATTTACCGAGTTACGCTGAAAACAGCGTGTATTAATGAAATGGAGTCAATCGAAGGAGTACTTCAGCGAAACATTCCCATCAGGAAAGTAGAAGACAGATTTAATCCGGAAGACTTCTTGCGCGACGCACCCTGTGATTCAGGTCGAACTTGTTTAATCGAGATAGATTCCGTTCCGGAATATCAGCGTCCACGTAGATTGGGTGAGTTTCAGACTGTACGCTTCAGCCTCCATCGTCCTTCCTTCGTAAGGGAAGAAGACGACGCGGGAAGATGATGACGTGAACACGTAGGACGTGGGATCCTCGCGAGGACGGGAAACGAAGTAAAAGGCGTGACGCAGGCGTGAGGAACGTAAAACGGATTGCGTGATCGAAAGTATGACAGAAAAGTCGCAATATATCACACGAAGACTCAAGAGATACACCGAATAAGTTTTACGTACGTTTTAAGATAGCGAACACAACACGTCACCGTCCTACACGGCGGCCCACTGAGAAACAAACGGCATTACACGATCGAGAATATTCAGGATATTTATTTAATTGCTATATAATTATAAATACAATTACCTATACATATATACATATACGCGTAAGAAACGACTATAATAAGTAGTACGTAGCGATACACAACGTACATCCGTCTGTCGTGCTCGTGGAGCTTTGAGCGAGTAATCGTCGTTCCGCCCGCAGAAACGGACATCGGACATGCGTCAGTCTCAAAAAGTAATCCCTCAGGATATCGGGGATGACGACGGAGAGGATTGCCCGAGACCGACAGACAAAGCTGTAATATAATGATCGTCGACACGAAATGCTCGAAAATCATCGTTCTTGTTAATTCGTTATTTCATTTTCCCGACCTTCTGATAGATCTTCTCGTACTTTTCCGTTGCTATACGTGATAAGTAAACAACTGTACGTTACAATAAAGATACTCTAATTTTTCAAAGACTGTAGCCACATATATTGTTCTGCAAGTATTACGAGGACAAACTCTTTACCTGGCTAGTGAACAAAATCAGCTCAGTCACGGTGACTATTACAATTAGGCCGAAGAGAGGATTCTGATCAATTTTGGCGCCGTGTTGATCACCAGGGATGCTCTCTGACAGTATTTTCGATATTAAGAAGCTGTTGGCAAAGATAAGACGACATTCAGTGGCGCACTGAAACAGATTGACACCGTTAATTTGGCATTACTATTAATTTAACGCTATTATAACGTACATCATTACCGTAGTGTAGTGATTTCGTCACATTATTATACAGGCGCAGGCCGAACCTTTATGTTACGCCGAGTTAATGAAGTACCGGTGTTTTTTAAGCATTCGTAAACATTATATTATAGGCTAAAGGGAAGCGGCGTACGAGGAAATGCTGTGCGTGAGCAGATTTTAAGGCTGTGTGGTCAATAAAACGCTAAAATAAATATCTCCTCGTGAATGATTATTCCCATTGACATGATAACACCGAGCGTGTGCTGTCAAAACGTTCGCCACCGCGTGGACCACCGGTGGCCGAAGAAAAACAAATTTAAACATATTAAATTAACACGTGCGTTGTGTTTGAAACAATAAGAGACGTACATGAAAAGAGCTCGAGATAAATTGCACGTTTATACGTGTAACAAAATAAGAGAATTTTAAATATGCACAGAATATGTACAGAATGTTGCATCAATGTACAGGTCAGTGAACGGGTTGCCTACCGGCAGGCGTGGTGTACACAATTCAGTAGGACTTGGCGGTATTTCACTTGACACTCAAAAAAATAAGCAAGTGAATACGCCAAGACCTCCGATCACGCGCGCCTGCCAGTAGGCAACCCGTCGTATTGGCTTATATATTGTTGTATGCTGATGCAACACCCCGTATATTTATGTCAAATCTCGTTTTACCAGCACATCTCAATATATTAAAAAAACGGATGTATTTCACAAAAACGAGAATCAAGAAATAGGGTCAAACTTAGAAGCGAAGAAATTAAGTTTTGCTTTACAAAAAGCATCGTAACATTGCGCGTTGTCGAGATATTAGCCACGAAATGTAACGGATCGATGCGGAATTAACGCGATATCAGATATAACTAATCGAAGTATCTGTCACAACCCAGATAGATAGAGACGCTGGACATAGCCTGTAAATATTTAATGTATACTTTATGATGTTATTATTATAACAGCGCAACGTGTTAAAAATATATTGTTTTAAGAAATATTACTTTAATACTTTAATACTACGGCGTGTTTTGAATAAAAATGTTTACTTCTAATTGCTGCAATAATTTCGGGTTAATTATGTTATTTTGCCGGTAAATAAACATGAATTCTCAGGGCAGCGGAATATCGCCGCAATATCGGAGCAATTTTTATGACGTCAAGGATGATTTCTTTTAAATCTGGTAGAGTTCTTGTTGTCCGAAAACGCACCTTTACGTACTTGTATAATTGTAAATTCTCAATTCAGTCATTATTTAGATAGTATGCCAAAAATGTCTATTTGGGGAGGTTCGAATCTAGAAAAATAGAATCTAGAAACAAAAAGATGGAGATCCTTGCAAACCGCATCACCATAGCATTACGTGTTACCGGGATATGAGCCACGAAAGGTCATAATTGATCGATGCGAAACTAACGCGACATCCGCTCCCCCCAGCTTCGCTACTAATCGTTATACATAGCATAAGATTTTGCTTTTGGAGGATATCCTTATTTTCACACTTCTGACTAACGTGTAGTCGTTCTTCGTAAGAAGAGATAGAGAGAGAGAGAGAGAGAGAGAGAGAGAGAAATCGTAAGAAAGAATATATAACAGTAATTAAATAATTAGAAAAATACTTTATTCATTTAACAACTTTATCAGAAAATTCACAAAGCTGGCATACAAGAGAATGCTTTATCGGGAATGGGCGAAATAGATCAGGCACATGATCGGTGTCTCACATACCTTAAAGTAATAATAAATGTATGTTAGTGAAGCTTAAATGCGACATATACAACATCCGCCTCCGTCGATCTCCGCATTTGAATCGATAGTATCTAATATAATGCAGTTCTTTGCACATCATACGGTCTGAATCTTTGGATAAAATATATATATAAATTACACACATGTTACAGTAATATATACATAACAATCTCGCGCTCGACTTTCATAAATATGGACATTTGTACATCATCGCAACTTAACTTCATCACAGTCATGACTGCGTTTCTATTTGTTCGCATTTCTAATGAATCACCGCGAAAAAAAATGATTATACATGACCTTTGTCTCCCTCTTATACATAATCATATATATAATTATACACATGTCTCACATCTGAAAAATAATGTTGTACGAATATAAAGTAAATGCTCATGTTTATGGTTGCTTACGATGTGAACACTTAATTATTTAACTTAATCAAACTATTTTCTCCGTTTTTCGTTCAATGGTATTTTTATTTCGTATGTGGATATATATAATTATATATATAATTATATATGTAGCCGTGTGGAAAACAAATTCATATATAATTATATGTAATTTTACGATTATATATAAATATTTCTTCCCGGGTTTAATATCAAACATGCATGACACTTAGCAATCGCGTAAATTAACGATAACGCTGAAATTGCTCGCGCGATCAATCCACGATTCTCAATTATAGTTGACTATTTGTGCGCAGAACGGCAGNATAATATATATATATATAATTATATATATAAATATATAAATATATATAAATATATATAAATAATTATATATATATATATATTATATATATTATAATATAATATAATTATAATATAATATATATATAAAATTATATCAGTCAAAATATAATTTGCAGTACACACTTCTTAGCAGCACGCCGAGAAGTATTACTAAGCGTTCCGCAAGACGTTATTTACATCTTTCTCTTCTAACACGGAAAGCAATTACAGCTGAGCTACAAAACGACTGCAATATGATTGCCATGGCTTCTTGGAGAACTAGTTTAAATTATTGAGTCATCATCGAACTTAAGAGAAATTACACGTACGCTTACATCATTAAGCACACGTACATCAACAACGGTAGAGCCAAATTGTCTACCTGATTTGTGCGTGCCTCGATCAACGATATCGCTACAGCCGCCAATACGCTCCTGAGCAATAACCAATAACCATCGATGAAACCTGGCAAAATATAAATAAACAGAAATAATTAATAGCCTTATTAGAAGAAACAGAAAGAGATATACGTGATAATATATATATATATATATATATATATGTATGGTGAAAAAATATATATGTATAAAAAAGAAATATACCACAGCATGTTAGAGCGAGTATTACGCAAACTTGAGAAAACACGCATGCAACGGTGCCCTCGATAGTTTTGTCCGTGTCCACCCACTTGTGCGAGCCCCATTTGCCGCCGACGAAACTTGCTGCGGTATCGCCGACCCCCACCGTTAGCACGCCGCTCATTAATGCCAGGAATGTCAAGTTACTGGTTGGCATCCAAAGTGGAAATGACAGGCCACTCATTAGATACAAGGGTGTTAAGGAGAGCATAAAGTCCTTTTCATCGGCAAATACAACGAATCCGTCTTGTAGAACCTTTCCCAAAGGTGGCACTTTCAAAAGTCTGATTAGCTAAAATTTGCCGAAAATTATCGCATCGGGCAAGACTTGCAGGCGGACAGACGCGACGGGAAAGCATAGATACCTCGATGCCCATAAGCAGCGCAAATATCACACCACTGGCAAGATACAACATTGAAATGTCGCATATCATACCAGGGATGTACACAAACATGGCCAGGATGTGAAAGATCTTCCTGGTCGAACTTGTAGCTCGGGACTTTGATGAAATTTGGTACGTTATGATGAAAATGCTTAGCACAACGCACACCGCCCAATACACGACTAATGCAATCTGAAATGTCCAAAATTGAGAGAAATGAAATTAAGCGGATCGACGACGAAGAGCGTTTTTCTATATTACGTCTCTGTGTTGTATTAATGATTCGTCGATTGAAAAATTGGTAATATAAATCAAGTAACAGTACAGCATTGTTACTTACCCTCTTGTGACTGCTAAAAACAAAAGAGATTATCCACATTACTGGATTCTGATCGAGAATAATATAAAGTATCGGAAGAGTTACGAAACACAGGAGACCGACTGTAATTAAGTAAAAGTATTTTGTGCTACGTAGGACAGGAAAATATCCACACAGGAGGCATACCGACACTACATATAAAATTCCAACCTGTAATAATGGTGTTAGGTGAGGTAACGTGTTAGGTAAGGTAATTGCCAGCGTAAAAAAAAAAGGTAAGCTTATATCATGGCAAGTAATTCTTGCGTTTCAATACCTGCAACAAAGCTGTGCTGATATCATTATCGTGAATCGGGGGCAAATGATATCGCAGGGGTAAGTTGGTGACAGCCGACATCGAAAACAAAATAAAACTATGCATAATCGCCGTTGCTTCTCCCATTGTGAAGCAGTACGGGAAAGCCGACATTAGTTGCAGGACACCCCATGTGCCCAAACTTCCCACGGTTAGGCCCCATGTGACACTCGTTAATAATCCTGTTCTTGTTTAATCAATATGAAAATATAATCAGAACCAGCTGCGCATCGTTATTGGCTGCGTTCAGAAAACACAAACGATCAGTAAACGGCCAATGATTATCGGTCTTTACTGTTAGATCCTTAAATTTAGACCCCAATTATGTTGACGAATCGCCCAATCATCGTACAACCATTGTGTCTTCCGAACGCAATGAGTGAATTTCTAGTCGTCATCAATTGCATGCTATCTATATCCCTAAATAGCGATGAAACAAAAGTACTCCGGGAGGTAGATTTATTCACGGATGATCTACGGATTGACATACCTCTGTTAGCTGCGAACAGATACAGTATGGACGTCACGATCGCTGGTAAAAAGTATATAACGTGAAAGTCCTTCGCCGCGACCCGTTGCATGGAGAGTCGTGCGTAAAGACAGAAAGAACAGAGAACAAGGCTGAAACCGGTGGTTCCTACGAACAGACATATCTCGGAGTAACTGTTTTCCTCCTTCAATATAGTGACCGCTGCGCTCAGGCCGACTAAAATGCCCAACCATAATCCAGTGTTTGTTTTAGGCCTGTAAAGAAGAAATAAAATGTATGACTCATAACGTCCAAGTACTTCGTACAACTACTAGACTTCAATTCTGCGATGTGCCAGCAATATATGTACGATAAGGTAACATCGAACGTGACGAACATGAAAATTCGGTCTATAATATCGGAATAAAATATCACAATCTCTCGATATCGACGCAAAACCTCGTGTTTGGAGGTTATCTCGCCCTTCGAGTAAACAGAGGGACACCAGCGTACCGATGTTTTATACCGTTGCGCTCGACATTCTGCAATATCTTCTTCTCGAAACGATCATAGTGCACAATCAACGTCTCCATTGTCTCTATCTCGCAATGGGACAATGTATTCACAACATCAAAGCGCGATCGCGCTGTTCACGACGCCGACACGCTACTGCACTTTGAACGCGGAAAAAGTCCCAGGCTGGAAAGGCAAATCGGGCTATCTTTCCGCCGCATTTTTCGAATGATGCGGTGGATGACTGTACGACGTGTCTATCTAAAATTGGAGGTGGCGACGAGTTCAAGCCGAATCGTCCCCGTCGTGCATGGCGGGGACCGACGGGAACTACGCTGTCAGATGCACGCTTATTTTAGGGTTCACGCTTATTTTCAGGTTCGTTCCTTTTATAATCGCTGAGAGATCGCGCGGAACTGACGGAATCCGAGAGTTCGGACGCGCTGGGAGAAGGATACATTTTTCACTGAGTATGAAAACGCCGGGGGAAAACGAAACACGATAATGCGGTAAATAACATTGCGCTATAATTTTTATGAGCCACAAATAAAAAGTAGTTTATTAATTGCATATTTTATCGTATGCGCTATGCGTAAAAATTTAAGTATCACTTCTCTCAATCGTGGCATGATAAAATTCAACAGATTGTTGACGCCGCAAAAATAATAATAATGAGACGATTTTAACGAGCATTTTACAGCTTAAAGTCTGTAGTTTCCAATTATGCTTGAATGTAAAGATTATTTACTTCTTATGAGATTGTACAAAAGTAAATCGAGATTCGTCAAATTTCCACATTTTCAAGAAAACTTGTCGAATTATACCGCGTCGGGAATGCGGGCTTTTAGCTTGAACATTCGACTCACGAGATGGCACTCAAGCTTGTACAAAGCTCTTATGTGATTTTCTACTTTATCTAATGTTCCTTGCCCGGTGACCAAGTGTAAACAAAAAAGAAGTACATTTCGAGTAAAGTGAATGTATATTTGAATATATCGAAGAAAAAAAGTACAAAAACTCACTGTTTTTTTTTAATTCTCTTTTATTTTTGAGTTAATATTCATTAGTTATTCGACACAATGAATATGCAAGAATTTTGTCGAAAGTTGCCCAAAGTGGTATGTCCTTTTGCCTTTATTTATCTTATGTATATTATCAATAATACGCGAGAGATTAATAAAATAGACATAACTGTATAATTTTACTTATTTTGTATGTTAAGAAACAAATACTTTTGTTTTTATAACGAACTCTCTCTGTAATTTTGTATCCCAATGTAAGTTCAATCATTTCCTTTTTATCTAGGAACTACACGCCCATTTGAATGGCTCTTTGAGTGTACGTACTTTGCAAAAATTATACACGATGCAGCAATCAGACGATAAGATTGCTATGAGCGATCAAACATTTATGGATGGCAGAAATTTGTCATCTTTAAGCGAGTAATAAGAAAAAATATATACATTAAGAAGCATTGAAAGTGCCCCATCCAAAAGAGCACATCAGATTAGGCTGAAACTTAATAAAAGATGTCCTATAATTTTGGAACCAATCAGATAAATCCTTGTGGATTTTCAATGCTTCTTAGTATTTTCTCCTTACTTTCTTATGAAATATTTCTAATAATTTTGAAGAAAACATTTACTAGTAACACGTTGCAAACATTATATATTTATTATTTTTGTTTCAGATGTTTCAAGGTATTCGAGATAGCACACGCACTAACAGTTACACCACAAGCTGTATTTGTCGCCACTTGCGATGTAATCAGAGATTTTCACAAAGACAATGTCATCTACTTAGAATTGAGAAGCACACCTCGTGCTGTAGAGGGATTAATGACGAAGAAAGAGTATCTGGAAGCTATGATAAAAGCCTTGGAGTAAATACTCAGCTATATCTCATGATACCAATTAAACAATCTTTAATTTTTATTTGTTTCAACGAATCCGATGAATGTATCTTGCAGAGCGTCCAGATCTGAGTCTCCTCGGATTCTCGTGAAATTATTGGTATCAATTAATCGGAAACATGGTTACGAAGCTGCGAAGGAAAATGTAAATCTCGCGATACAGTTTATGAAACAATATCCGGAACATATCGTCGGTTTAGATCTCAGTGGCGATCCAACGGCGGAAGGTTCCTTCGTGGAATTATTAAAAACGGCTAAGAAAGCAGGCCTTAAAATCGCAGCCCATTGTGCAGAGGTAAATATTATCTTCTTTATATAGATAGCAAAAAATAATACATAATAATATATTTATATAAAATGTGTATACAGATACCAAACGAGAAGGAGACAAACGATATCTTAAAATTTAAACCCGACCGACTGGGACATTGTACTTGCATTCATCCCAGTTTGCAGGGTTCCGAGCAGTTGTTCGACACCTTACTGCAATCCAAAATTCCTGTTGGTAAGGGATTCTCGATAGGAGGACGTAATTGTGACATAATGGAGCCATTTTCGATTTGATTCTTTTTTTATTATTCTAAATGGAAAGCTATAAGTATTGGAAACTTTACGGACAGATACTTTATAGCGAATATCAGCGGTCTATGTATTCATATTATCGCACTTCCTTTTCCGTTTCTAGAGTTATGCTTGACATCGAACATTAAATGTAGAACGGTATCGTCATACGCGGCTCATCATTTTCAATATCTGTACAAAGCTGGACATCCTATAACTATCGGAGTGAGTATATGAAAAATGTTTCGAGATATATATATATGTATATATCGATGAAAATGTGGCGAGGGAGAAATGGTATTTTATATAAAGGATATTGTTATTCCATTAGACCGATGACAAAGGTGTTTTTGACACGTGTTTGTCAAATGAATTGGAGATACTGAGCTCTGTCTTTAACGTCGGGAAAGAACAGCTTAAGGAATTATCTGCATTATCTGTACGATACAGCTTTGCAAGTACGGAAGAGAAGGAGAAATTAACTTTGATTATCGAGAATTTTTTGATTGACATTTAAAACTAGGTGAGTTGATGTAATCGTATGATATTATATTTACGATTAGTACAGTCTTGTATTTAATTATTTATAATTCTATTACAGTAAAGCAGACCTGTTCAAATTTCACGAGCCTATACGCGTCGTGTCTTTTGCCGAATGAAAAACTTAAGAACAAAAAGCTTAAGACGATTCCGCGCGTTACGTGTGTACATACGTGTATGGTACACGAATACCGCAGTATAATGCGAGCAATGAGGCACATTTACCTCTATAGACTTTGACAGGCCTGCACCTAACTTTAGCTTAACTCGAGCTTACGAGCACGACATTAGGAAATAAAAAATTGAATCTCTTATAGCTCATACTTAACCGTTAAACTAAGATACTTATATATATATATATTTATACTTATATATATATATATATTATGCGTTAAGATTTATATATTTTTTTAAAATACACTATTAAACTGCACTGATCGAGAATAAACAGCCCCAGTCGGACACTATCCATATAAAGTACTGCGGTTTTCGTTTACGTTCTTTCGCGATATTCGATAACATAAAAAATTACCGATAGTTATAATCAAACGTGTTAAAATTGACAATTGTTTAATAAGTATAAACATACCTATTCACTCGGTGTCACGTTTTTTAAAATATCGGTCGCTAACAACGTCATAAATCTCATATCGCTTTGCTACTTGTCCGTATCAAAACATAAATACGGAGAGTAGTCCATCGTACAAGCAGCTTTTGTTCTAGATATTATAAAGTTGGTAAAGTTGGTAAAAGAAGGAAAATAAAAAAAGTGAAAGAACTTGTATTCTCGATACACGCAAAATAAAAAGTAGATTATTTTGATTAAGTTATTATACCTGCTATGTATTACATATATACGCGTGCGCGTTAAAAGCAGGCTGTAATAACAATTATGATACTAGTTGCATAATAATACTATCTTCTTAGTAATTTTTGAGTACTATTCAAGATGACAGCATATGATTATGTACAATGACCAATTTGTTTGTATGGTAATTGTTTGTACATTGACATTCATATATAATATGATTGATCTTGCAGTAATCATTATCAATATTATTATGAATAATATCATAATTTAGTAATTAATAACATTATTATCCATATTTTAATAAAGGACCTATGAATAATTATTATTTATAAGATTAACAAGCGTTAGTCTTAAAATACTTTACACAACAGTCTTTTAGTACGTCTATAATAATAAACGATACATCCAATGATTAAAAAAAAAACAGAGTATGACGGCAGATGCTGAATAGCCGTTTCATTTGAACAAAATTATTAATAATATACATGAGTTTTATATATATATATATAGATTGAAAAAATGTCAAAATTTAATGAAACCTGTTTTATTGTTGTTTAAATTGATGACAGCATGGTGGAGGTAGGGGTTGGTATCATTGAACGATCAAGTTGCGTCAAAAATGTGCCCCCACTTTAGTGAATCCGCTTTATTGTGTTTTGAACTATTGCGAGGGTATGATGATATCATGTATATAAACTACATCAATATCTATATATTTTTCAATATATATACGGGATATAAGTGCGTGTATATGTATATATATACACATATATATACACACACTCACACATACACACACACACACACACATATATATATATATATATATATATTTATATATATATATTTATATATACACATAAATGTATGTGTATATATATATATATATAATTTATATTTATATATATGTATATTATATATACATTTAAAAACAAACACTTAATGCATATACCTACGTTATACTATACATTATCACTGAAGTTATATGTGTTGCGTTCGAGAGAATCGAGTGTTTAGTAAAAATCAGCGATCTCAGATATGTGGACCTTAGATCTGAATATTATAACATATCCTTAAGAATAGATCCACCGATTACTAGCCATTTACTATACACACTCGGTTCTATCGAACGCAACGACATATCAATTATCTAGTATCACAATATAATTTATTATACAATATATACAAGCCACCCACCATAGAATAGACCGTTCCATTCAGTTATGAAACTACCGTGATTCCCCTCCGCGGAACTTATCAAAGTTAAAAAGATCAGTCATACGAACACGGCACGCGCCTGAGGCCAGCTTGTGGCATCTCTGACGGGCAATACTTACGGAAGTTCCTCAATGATATTGTCTTGATAAAATAAAAATGAAATTGGACGAATTAGGTCGGTCTATTGTTGTGATTTGTTTTATTATAAGTTTTCATGCGCGAGGGGACATTGCTAACGGTAGATCTATTCTATTCTATGGAACTGTGGGTGATGAGTGCACGCGGCTTCGCACGACGCTTCGCGCGATGTTATTTCGCGTCGTACAAGAGGAAGTGTCATTGGCCGACGGCGAGGCTCTTCACGGGGTGTTCTCGGGCGTCGCTCTCCGTGACCGCGACTCGTTGTCCTCCCGAGGTAACAGGACTCCCTCGTAGACAACGCCACCTAAAGTCGCGCTAATCGATAGAGAACCAAGACTGTTTCCTGAAAAGGAAAGAGAACGGTGCACAATTAATTTCTTTTTTTTTTTATAGTGTGGCAAAGAGTTTTATTCTGTTTGTATCTCTCAATGCTAAGTACTCTCTAATTTTAAGTGCTGCAGGCACATAAATGTGTCCGACGAACGCTGCCAACGTAGACTATGAATCATAGGCGTAGCTAATCTTTCGATTTCGAGTTGGGGACAGGAAATTTATCCACAAATTTTATTATTATTTACTCAGAGGTAATCTTGCTACTTAACTGAAATACGCCAAAATCATTGCAAGCAATGCAGGCGCTGAAATTGTCTGGCGGTGAAATTGAGAAATTTTCATGAAACATCGGTAATACCATTTCATTGGTTTTTAATCACAGAACATGTACTGTAGCTTTTTCGTGGAATGTAGATTGTAATGTTATCAGTTACATTCCTTCACTTTTATGATTTTTGCAATATCTAATTGTTTTTCCCTGCCAACATTTAGAAGGAGAAGCGTTCCCCTCCCTGGCTACGCTTATGCATAAACGTGTCGTGTTGAACGGCAGGTTGGTGGTGATAAAATAACTAGGGCCAATGTCGTCGTTTTGGTTTCGTGCTTGGACGGCGCACAATGACTCCGCATTTTTGGCAACTACTGATGCCCGCCCATTTAGATGATACTGCTGGGCGGGGAAGATGGGTTTCGCACGGCCGGTAAATGCCTCGGTATACATGCTTCATGAATTTCTTTGACTTATATAGCTTAATATAATTTTTTATATTAGCCAAACGAACATAAGATTAATGTTAATTCTGTTTTATAATGCTGAGATTTATAACATTGATATTTGTAAATTACCAGTGTTTGTAAACGAACAATGCGTTAGGTTAAGACAAGGCCGAACGCTGTATTTAATTTATCTAATTTTTACGTGGTATAAAATATGGCCAAAATAGTGACTTAGTCGTATAATTAATTGATAGTTCGATACGTAATAGTATTCCATATTCAGCGACTGTCATCTCAGGCTATATTTTAGCAAGTTAAAAATAAATATTTTTTTATTCTCTCTCTCTCTCTCTCTCTTTCTCTCTCTCTCTTTCATCTTATTAATAGCGCATAAGTAACGCGTTTTTCAATAAACGTCTAAAAGCGAAAGCTGTTCGACTTACTTCGGCTGGAATGACAGTTGATGGTAATAAAATTGCTAGGGCCATTTTCGTCGTCTTGGTTCCGCGAAACAGAGGGATGATTCGGTAGCCCCGGTAACTGATGTCTGCCCATTTGGATGCCACCACCGGGCAGAGACGGCGGGCTTCGTACGGCAGGCGAGCGTCCCGGTGACCTGGAGGTGAAAATTGATGTGAAGAAAAATGCGACTGGTGTGCCTCCACTGCTCCAAAATAAAAGGAGATTCTGTTTCTACTATTCTCTTACCGGACCAGGTCCAAAGCTTGTTCCGGGCTGCCGGATCTCCGTAGCGGCGAACGCCGTCGCAATGGTGAACGAGATCTCATTAGCGGCGACCTAGCTCTTCCCTGTTGCACCGGAGATCGGGGCGCTTGGTTTCGCGGGGGCGAAGTTAACTGCCGGGACCTGCCTGCATACATATTACTGTATATCCAAGAAGACTTTATCATATCCATGGCGTTGGGTCCCGTGCTGTCCCGCGGTGGCGATGACGCTCCCGGAGACCCATTACCGATACATGCAGTTTGTCGATGCATTAAAGGTGACGGTGTACCCGCGTCCTCCTTTGTCGATAAATTGAACAGCTTAAGATATTCGAGCATGACGTCGGTCGTAGGTGCCATACCAGGTAACGGACCTTGAACTAGAAAGATAAGCAGCGGAATGGCGTGATCCACGTCTACGATCATTGTGGCAAATTCTATCTTGTGTGCCAGCACGGATATCCAGCGGAATAATCACAAATTTTCAGCATTCATGCAAAATAATAATGAAAGATCGCCGTTATGACCGTGAAGAAATTGAAGATAAAATTAAATTTCAATCTCAAAAGTTCTTTTTTTCCAAAATTCATACGAAGTAACAATGAAAGATCGTCGTTGTGATCGTCAAAAAATTAAAAATAAATGAATTTTAACTTCAAACGCTTTTTTAAAAATTAAAACTTTCACTCTCATACAAAAGCACTCATACAAAATAATAAAAATATATCACTATCGTGATCGTTAAGAAATAAAAAAAATTAAAATCGTACCGGCAACAACAAAATGTGAGAAGCAGCACAGATGTCTTAAGATCATTAATCGTATGCTCTTTAGAGCCAAACACCATTTGCCTCGCCACAATATTTATGCCATTGTCGAGGACATTAAGATGTTAAAGAAACCGAAGAAAATTCCAGAGCAAAAAAATCGGTTGGCTATTTATAATCGTTGCTGAATGTCTGGTTGCAAAACGGCTCGCCGGCTAATTTGTGCTGCTCGAGTTAACACATATTAATACGGGATATATATACGCGTGTACTCGTTTGCCTTTCTCATACGTGTATGTAAACAATGTGACTAATATATTGATATTACGCCAATCGCATATCTCCAAATCCGCGGTCTAACGCTACCGCATCGTGCTAAATGAAAATAGCGACGAGTCGCTCATTGGCTGCGCTCCATCCGACCGACGTCACTGAACACATCGAACACATGTGTGTACGTTGAACGTTGCTTCGTATGACACTCGTTGATCGAGGACCGATTTATTCCAAACCACTGTCTTTCGCGTGCGCGCGACGAAGTCGCTAATTTCGATAGACGGACAAATGATCGCGATTGATCGCGTCATGCGCGTTTCAGGATGCGACGGTCGAGCAAATGGCGAACCGCTCACCTCACTGATCTGCGATCCATGAACGTTCGTATGTATTTTAAAAACCTAAGTGCACAGTTCGTGTTCCATCAATTTGAATTCAATTCAGCACGCATAGAGTATGCGCACGCAAGTGTCTCGCGAGAGATCATGCGAACGAATGAATGCTAATGCGTTCCCGATGCCGTCGATGTTGCGATATATTACGCGTCGTTTGCGCGCGATACCGGGATGTGAACAACAATCGGATGCCCGCAAGTATCCCAGTGACCTGAGGATACACCGCACGAAACGTTCGGACTCGTGGGATCGTCGCCAGCCGATCAGGGAGGGGGGGAAGGGCACGAGTAGTGTGATCGAAGCGCGACGTGATCGTCGTCGGCCGTGGAGCGACGAGAAAGTGGAAAGAGAGAAGAAGAAAAGGGTAGGGAAATAGGAATGCTCGTTAGCGAGAGTCATCCGTTAACGCCTGTCTTCCGGAGAATCGTACAATCAATTACGCCTCCTTCGCTCTCGCATCATCATCTCTGGGGCGGCCCGGAGCAGCACTAACTACCGATTTAAAATAAACCCGCGCGCTCTCCCTTTTCCCCTGCTCTCTCTCTCTCTCTCTCTCTCTCTCTCTCACTCTCTCTCTCTCTTTCTCTCTTTCACTTTCCCTCGCTTCCTTTTACTGTTTTGTGTGTGTGTGTGTGTGTGTGTGCGTTTTTGTAAGTTTCTTTTTATTTCCTTCGTGTCCGCATTTTTATTTATTTCTTCCCTGTATCCTAACATCATTTCATCTCAACGCTCTCTTTTTCTTCGGACTTTTTTTTTCCATTTTAATTGCTCTATAAAGATTCCAGCGTTTCTGCCTCTGTTTCACGTAACGTTGCACGAAAATCGATATGACGTCAAGCTCGAAAGAAGAATGAAAAAAACTGCAGCATCTAGAAGCGGTTGCTATTTTACGTTAATGCGACTTTGTAAAAAATCAAGCTGAGAATACCAGTCGTTGTTACATTAGGAAATACGTATACAACTTTTTCCCGTTTTGTTCTATTAAATCTTTCCTTAGCGCGAGAGAACCGTACGAATAGTGAAATCTACGTTGAACGTTCGAAAAACATGTGGGAAAAACCGCGCTAGAGAGGTACACGTCGCGTTGCTCAACTATAACAGCGAACCGTAAATGACGGCGTGCAACTTTAAACACGGTCAACGCTATCAACGTCACACATGCGTGGCAGCAAAAATATTCTATATCCGCGTCGTCGAATTAAGTCTGTTTTAAACGATTAAATGAAAAAAAAAAAAATGACGGTCTGTGGGAGAGAATTTTCGAGATAAATCCCGGTAGCGAACGCGTTAAGAGTTCCGATTGTGATCGCATCTGTTTCCAGTTAGAAGATCCGTTTCTCCACGGAGACGCGCATGAACGCGCGCAATGTTCGATACTTCGTCACTCGTACAGTCCATTTCCCATTCGTTCCTCGTATAAATTGACTAGAAACAAAAACTTACTTGAATTGTTCCCTTGGTTGAGAGGGTTCCCTTGGGGTGGCAGGTGAAGATGCGACAGCGGGTTGTGGCTGGAGCTCCCGTTCAGTTGTATGTTGTGATGCTGATGTCCGGCCGTAGCTATCATGGGAAGCGTGATTGGCGCTGCCGTCAATGCCAACTGACTGTTGAGGTGCTGGGCGCGAGGTACCACCGAGTTTTCACCGCTGGCTCCGTTACCTGTATAAGTGCTGTAACTACTCCTGCGACCCTCGCGACGATTCCCGTCGATAGCTATCTGGAGTTCCTCCGGGGTCGACAAGTGTTCCTTGGAGCATTCGTAGTCGTACAGATATTTTCTGTACCTGTAAAAGAACGAGAGCGTACATGCATTAAGAGGTGCGAAGGGATCATTTTATGTTATCACGAGGCCGCGGGATTCTCGATATCGCCTCGATATTTCTACGCAAAGTTACGGAGAGAGACAAGAAGAAGGTTGTAAAGAGAGGATACATTCCGTCCGAAGGAATTAAATCGGTTTAGCTGCGGGTTACAAAGACGCTGGGAGACGACCCAATGTAAGAACCTCGATTGCCGCGGGACCCTGTATAAGCTTCGCGTAAAATACTGGCCGTACTGTTAGCCACGCCTGTGGTCCTTCCGTCTCGATATTCCATCTTATAACGGAGGCAAATGAGCTCCTTCTGAAAACAATCTCGAAAGAAGATTCAGGTCGCCCCTCATCCTGAAGAGGTGAACTGGAATGTTCACGAAACGTCAGAAACAAATCGAAGAAGAACGTGAAGCTAACTCGGCGGCCAAATTAAGCATCAAGTGATCTTGACAAAATTTCTAAAAATAATATTTTCAAACCTCGTCAGAGGGGGAATCTTCCGAAGTATCTCGAAACGGCTAACGGTCGGATCTAGCATCGTTTTTATCCGTTGTATCTCAAAAGGTTCGAGTCTACCATATTTGTAAATTCCGTCAATGGAACCTGTGTCGTTTTTCTAATGTGCTTTGGAATAAACGAAAAGCGCTACAATGGTGAGGCGATTTTCACCCAAGCCGAAATTCATAAAATTGAAGAATGTCACAGCCTTTTGTGCGAATCGACCATTCCTCCTCTTTCCGAATACCTTCGGCTGCTTGAAATCACCTTAAAGAAAAGCGTCTGAAAAAAAGAACAGTCATCTGACAGTTTATCATACCCCATACATTAAAACCCCTCGAGATATGCGCAAAAAATCCGTGCTTAGAACTTTTCTTTTCTTCAAGCCAGACATTAGGTGCCTGTGGATTTGGATTTTTACCGATTGTTCGACAGAGCGCAGATAAACGTAGGTTTTCGTCAACTGCGAATGGTGACTCTTCGGATAACTTTACGGACGTCGATGCTGTTTCAGGGGCCTTTCACTACCTTCTACGTACTATTACGAATATAAGTACGTGAAAAAGAGGAACTGAAATGAGATCTCCGTTCCGAAATTGAAGGAACTCCTGATGCTTCAGTATCTCGTTAGTTCCCATGGAAATCCGCTACCGTTTTTTGATCCGACCGGCCTCTACGTTTGCTTAGACGACAAGTTCCTCGATCACGACTTTGGCACTCGCGTCTGGAACTCTCCTTCCGGCTGATAATTAAATTATCAACCAGGAGAGGAGAAGGACACGCGTTTTTTAGCGCAAACCCGCCCTCGAATCACACGCACGTACATTTATTAGCCGTGAGGAGCGACGAATCGCTTTGCCGAAATGTCGAAATCACCTTCAAATTCACGACGACTTGCCGCACTCCAGGGGGAATTCTATTCTCGCGCGGGAGAATCACGACGATCGTAAATTGAAACCCCGTTTCCAGGAAGAGGTAAGGAGAAAGAGAGAAATGACCGGACCGCAATTTCAGACCAATTGACGGCGGAGGAATCGGCTGCCTTAACGGATAAATTCTATTACGCGGACGCATCCCCGCCATGGTCGGCTATATTTTCGTATCCTCGCCTCAATCTCGCGGCATATCGCCGAGGAAAGATAGCCGGTTGCCGGAATGATGGATGCGCCTACCGTGCAAGGCGAGGCGACGCGACGCGCCGCGACGCGACGTTCTGTCGCACGTCACGCGCACAAAGCGTCGCGCGGAGTTATTTTCATGTGCACCCCCTAGCATCGCGCCCGTGTAATTCATATTAGGCCGCACTACTTATAATGTGTCCGCCGTTCTTCTCCCTCCCTCTCTCTCTCTCTCTCTCTCTTTCTTTCTCCCCTTTCTTCCTATCTCCCCTCGCGCTCGCGTTTTCGTCCTTCCCCTTTCCATTTTCTTCTTTCGTACTTCCTCCGTCGCTGTTCGAGCTACAACGAGCCGGGAACGAGCCTCGTCGCCTCTCCGAATCTCGCGCGCGAGACGAATCTCTATTTAGAGACGTTCGCCTTCTCTTCCGTTCCTTCCGAGAGACAGACGAGACACCGCGAACGGCAGATAAATCTTCGTCGCCGCGCTGAATATGCTTGGTATTATATAAACGAATATATATCGTGCCAAGAGAAAGAGAGAGAGAGAGAGAGAGAGAGAGAGAGAGGGGCGGGAGGAGGGAAGAGAGCGTTCCAGGTTGTCACAACCATCCTGATGTGTCCTTCTTATGATCGCGCCTCCGGACCGACGTGGGGAGACGACAACGCCGGCTAAGACGATGCACCTGTATGTCACGCCTCCGACTCTCCCCGTCGTTCTACTTGTTTTATCTCTTTCTAGGCGGTAAGCGAGTTCGCGAGTTCGCGATATCTCCGGTCCCGTTCACGAATTCCACGTGACTGACTCGAACTGTCCGTACAGGAGATATCGATAACCGCTTAAGTTAGAGTCTGATTTAAGGAATGTCGATCCCGAGGAACGTAATTGATTAATTATCGATCGCAAAGGTGCGTCCGATGAGCAGGACGCGTTAAGGCAGTCGGTTCGTCGAATCATTTCCTCAGAAATCCTTTTAAATTTTAGCTGTACATCGATGGAAGTACTATCTACGCCTGTAAAGTTAGAAAAGGACTACTCGGAAGCTGAGATATTCGCTACTAAAGATGACGTATAAATGAAGCGTTAATAAGAAAAATGATGAATACAAAATATCTCCGTGTTTGTAATGTTCCGTGTATATATATTCGTCTTAGTGTCGCGTTCAAAATTAATATTTATTACTTCGATTGTTAAATAAAGTTATAGGAAAGTATCCTTTTCAGTTTTCAAATTCAGCTTTTTTCCAGTTCAATTTTTCAAATAATAAACTAAGGTCCCCTTGGACATCGCCATCCATAGAAAATCCGGCATTCTCCGGACCAATTACCTTAATGAATGATGAAAAACTAAATAGATCCGGGTGACTTGAGCGTGCGAGTAGCCATATCGCTGTATAAGAACTTCTTACGGTATGCGACGAATATTTCAATCGGTACAAGGATCTCTCGGCTGAGGGGAGAGAGAGAGATGCGCGTGTAAAAGTCACGACGCCCTTAGTCATTGCCGCAGATTTCACGCTCGGATGAATCCCGAGTCCGGCTAGACTTATTGTATGCGAATTACAACGAGCCCGGGCACAGGCGAGACCGGGGTCCCGGATGAGAAACTTCACGATCTACTTACTGAGTGCGCAGAGTGAACGCAGCGGAAGTGATGCTCGATGGCAGGCGGAGACCCTTGATGATTTCCTGCCAGAGCTTCTTGTTGATTACCTCGACGAGACCGCCTCGTTGGATCACCAGGTTGTAGAGCTCGAATAGATCCAACACGGACTTGGCCATAATCGGTAGACGATTGATCGGTTGACCTGTAATTGGAATAATTTGATTGATTCAGTCGACGTGTATTGCAGTGCGAGCTGCGCATTCGTCTTCTAACGATCGGCATTGTTGGAAACAATCATAAATTTTCGCGGAAATTCGTTAAACAGAGACCCTACTTCCCGTGGCAATGATCGTGATGCAAATTCTTCGTTACCCCTCTTTTTACCCCTCATTATATATTATTAAATGTTTTTCCACTGAAACGCGAAAAAAAAAGTTCTCTAATATTCTTTCATCATAGTGTTACTTCTTTCAAATAATTTGTTGCTTGTTACAACCATTACAATGCTGTGAATGAAGATATAAAAGAAATGCGTTATCCGATGTAAAGATATTTCACGTTGAAAGATATAAAACGTTCGTTTGCTCGATTTCAAGAGACAAATTTGTTTGAATTCAAGAAATTTTGTAAAATCCAAAGAAACCATTTCTCCGCGGGTAGGAATTTTGTGAACGAAAGAAAACAACTGATTAAGAAACGGGACGGACTTTTGCATAAACCCAGTAATATAGCGTGTTTCGATTGAAACTCAATTATTCCTCTGCGCGGTGTTCGATCCGGCAGAGACGAATAAATTACGAGGCAAACGTATGCAGTTTGCGAGGAGTCAATCGATGGCGGATAGTGCGTGCAGAATGAGGATAAGACGCGATCCCTCATCCGTTGCGTGATCGGTCGGGGCAGATTTCGCGATCGTCTTAAGGCACGACTAGCGTAAAACCGCTGAATTTTACGAGGTTTGTCCAGGGGTAACCCCGGAGTGTGGGGCGTTAACAAGAGTAATAACGAATTCGCAACGATCACGCGAGCGGCGCTGTCTTTTACGATCTCCTTTAGGGTGTATCGCGCCGGTATAACAAATAAAGAGAAAAAAAAGGAGGGAAGTGTAGCGCATTAAAAAGCGGAGAGAGTACGAGCGCGCTCACGGAGAGCGAAAAATTCGACGAGTAGGCGTGTGGAGGGGGGGGGG